GGAAGATATTTTACATAACCCAGTTAATGTAAATGCTGTGTACATTTTGTTAGCTGACAAAAGTCTTAAGAGACGTATTATAACTTCTTTTTACATAATCTAGTAAGTAATTTCTCTCTGTATCTCTATGGCACTAAAAGATACAGATGCGGACGTTCGTTCAAGTGCCGAAAATAAAACGCAGACCGAGATTCCTCCTTTGATGTGTGTGCACTGGAATATTATTATGATTGATGGGCGCGAAAGGAAAACGAAACCAGAACAAAAAGCGGAGCAAAGCAGATACATGCATAGAACGCTCTGGTCCCGTCCCCTTCACATGTTATAAATTATGTTTGCTCGCAATGAGGCATCAGAATTAGTGGGATTGTTCCGCGAGCAAGGATTGTTACTGGGCTCTGGACACCAGAGTGTTCAGATTCCGGGTCTCGTCCTCGCTCTCAGCCATTTTCCTGCATATTCCTCCACTTTTTGTTCGGCCCGTCATGCGTATAGAATTTCATTTGATTGAGCGCTTAATCAAGCAAACATTAATGTGCACTTATTAATAATAAGTGTTCGGGCACCGTTCTCGTTTATCGTTTATCTGCTCAGTCGTGGCTGACTGAAGCCCGTCGGATGCCCGGATGCCTGATGCCTGATGCCTGGATGCCTGGATTGCTGGTCACGACGATGATGATGACGGGGCGAACGGGAGTGTCAAAGGATCGATCCGCGGACGGAGAATGAAGAAAAAACATTCAGAATTAGTGGGTGTGTGTGTGCATTTGGAAATAAGTCCAAATGCTATCAGCGGGTCTATTTTTTATGAGGGAAACACAAAAATACAGCAGGGCCACTATCAATCAGAGCCGCACAATGCTGTAATCCACAACCGCCCGGAATGAGTCAACAGAAATTAATCTTCCAAATGATCTGGGAACTCGCCTGGCAGCTTAGATAAGTTCTCTAAGCTCAAGTAATAAATCTAAGAATAAAAGTTGAAGTAATTAAAGTTGCTTGTGAAAGTTATTTTAAGTCATTTTAAATTTAAATCCATAGGTAGCATTTTTCAATGAACCACGTAAGTTTGTTAATTTCTTTTTCTTTATAATTATTATTATATTCCTCATATATATGTCCTTGTCCTTGTATGTTTGAGAATGGGAATGAAATGTCTGGTTATCACTCAAATATTAGCAACTTATTATTGTAATAGGTTATATAACTAAAAAAAAGGTCCGCTACACTTTAAATTTAAGATGTTTGGTTATAAAATCGTAGCCATTCGGTTACAAAAGTACCGTAATACTACCTTGTGTCTTACTTTAAGATTTTTTTTATGTTCAAGTCTTAGTTTTGGAACTTTTTGTCTTAAAACTTGAACATGTATTATCAGTGTATTAAACTCTACAAGTTTTGATACGTTGTTTACGTTTTATTAATTCAGAGGTCGGGCAGAGACAATTAATTGGCTCACAAATTTGTAACCTTCCGTATACCCAAGACGCACAGAAGTAGGCAATGTTTCCCATTTAACTTATAAACTTATTTAAATGGTCAAAGGGTTAATACAACTTTCCTGCCTGAAGCCAAACTTGTTTACTATGCCTAAACGATGTATAAAATTATATAAAAAGCAATCATAAATGAAAATCATTATAAAAGTATGTATATGTTTATATAAATATGTAACAATAGCAAATATCACCGAATTACCCCGAATGTCTTACCACCAAATTAAGCAGGAGTTGAACGTGTTTGAGAGCATAACCACCTGGCATTGTTCCGCTCTTATCCAATGAATCCCTAACGAAACCAATACCAGGCCACGTTGCCTCCGGACCAACTTATTTATCCGCACGGTGCATCCGAGCAACCAGCCCATCCATCTATTCAGGACCACCCATTGATATCGCCTCGTAATCTTGGACCAGTTTAAGCTTCCCACCGCTGCGGATAATCCGCGCCGAAAGCTGAGTTATGTCATGCCCGACAAGAACCAACAATAGGCCGACTTCTATATACATACATCCCTACTATATGTGTATAGCCGGGAAAAACGAGGAAAAAGAAGACCTCTCTCTTTTTTCTAAAACCTCCATTGTGTGCGGCCCAAAGTTGATTGTTTCTCCTGCATTGTTGTTGCTGCATGGCAGCTTTTTATTACTCGCATTATTATTTTGCGTATTATTCGAGCGCTTGCATTCTTTATCAATATATGTGAGTGTATCTGAATGATTTTTGTTGTTCCTCTCTCTAGAGGCAAAAACAGTCGGCGGATGTCGAACGATGGCAATGTTGGGGGAAGGGACGGTGACTTTAAGCTTCTTTCTGTCTGGCTCTTTTTGCATTGCTGAACCGCTTTTGCTGCAGGCCTACAAAAGACGCAGAACCCTCAGACACTGCTCATAGAATTTGTATGAAATTTAAATACCTATTCAGCATTCAAAATGCGAAGCGACAGCGCAGAGACCTAAATACTTAAGTAGTTTCCGAGGGGCTGACAAAGGCGCACAGATACGGACAGATACACTACGAAAAAATGAGTTGAACAAGGCCTTTGATAGATTTTGCTAAGGTTCACTTAACATTTCAATTTCAATACTTGTTTAAGTCTGGTAAATTACTCTGTAATACATAATTTTATACTGTTTTGGAGGAAGAACTCCTAGGAAAGAAACTTTCTTTATGTGTTATTGGTACTATTCCTATTTAGGTTTAGGAAAATTAATAAAGAAGAGACTCTATTTTTTATGTGTACTGTTTGTAGAGGAATACAAGGCGGCGCTTTCATATGCAGACACACGTTTTCGTTAGTTACAGCAACAAAGTGGAGGAGGCCCCAGATACAGATGCAGATACGGGTACATGTGCGGATACAGATACAGATGCCGGCAGACAGATACAGATACAGATACATCTACGGTCCGCAGACAAAGCAAGCGGGATTATGCCTCCAAACTACATACGAGTACTTCAGAGTGTGTGCGCGCCTCACGTAAGATTTAATCTTTATTGATTTATTTTGTTAGATTTTAATTTATGACACCGAAGTAGGCAATCATTTTTTCTCCTCCCTGTCTCCGCCGGGGGTCGGAAATCAGGGAATCGGGGAATTGGAGGCTAGAGCTTCAGTGGCCCAGCTGTGCCAGATTCAACGAGATAGGTTGCAATTTGCATTGTGGGTGGATTAATTAATCAAGACACTGTTGCCAGGGCCATGCAGCAGCTAATCAATTATGGATTTATTCGAGGGAATTTAGATGCGATGCTGGCCTGCCTTCTACCCAACATTCTTTCCTCAAGTCTCAGGAAAAGTAAGGAAAAAGAGTGGAAAAATCAATATAAGCGCTGGCATTTGATATGTCACTTCTTGCACCCAGATTGAATTATCAAGTTAATCCTATTTTCAGCAGTAGAAACTATTTGCAGGATATCGAAACTTGAGACTGTCGCTACAGTTCTAACTCTCCTTCAACGCAGTTACTTTCAATTTGGAATCCCAATAAAGCACCTGTTCCGATTTCCCGCTCAACGACAAGCACTTTCATCGAGTTGCAAACTTTTCCCCTCCCCCGCTGCAAGTTCCTCTCCTGCTTGAAAGTCGAGAATCTTTGGATCCGGTTGCCGGAGGCTGTGGCAACTTATCAGCCGCCTCCCGGCGGCGTCATGGCTGACAGCCCTTACGGGCAACCTTTCATTTGACATTACCCCGAATCCCGGCAACCAACTATTAATTTCCCCTCCAGCTTCTGCCACGGGGATACCTTTGGACTGGGCCAAAGAGGAAAATGTAAGCCACACACACAGAAATGTTCGTGTAATTTGCTTTCCAGTTAAGTTAAAAGTTTTCGCCCGAGCAGAAACCGTTAATCAAAATTAATTACACATAACCTCGCGCCATTCCACCCCTAAATCCCCCCCTTCACCCACTGGAAAATACGTGCCACCACGCCCACATGCGACATGCAAACGAAGACAAGAAAAAAGCCGAAACAGCAATTGTAATTTACTTTAATGAGCAACATTTAGTTGGCCCACAAGTCCAGATGGTCGGGCGGTGACAAAGGAATCGGTGTCCGGGGTAGGGTGTGCTATGATTGGATCTAGGGATGGTAAGTATATAGAAATATGATATTTATATTGTACAAGTTTCATAATTTCCATGGTTTTTAGTTACGAAATCTAAGCATTATGGAAATCAATTATACCATCTGGAAAGTGTGTTGAAAAATGCATGTGTTACCATTTTGTGAAATTTAAACAGTCAGAGGATATTTATTTCTAAGAGCAACAAGCACTACTTAGTAGCTTTACCTTCGATATATCGTCGCGTTATCGATTGTTACCCCTAATTGGATCGGAATAGAGAAAGGGGACCACCAGTAGAGGACATAGTATTGTGGTTAGCTGGCCATTGCCCAGTTGTGTAATTAAAGTTCGCATGACCGGCAATTGCATTTTGAATTTGAAACGGGCCGATGGACGCGCAACGCACTTAAGCAGGCCCCGCCCCTCCCACACACCGCCCCTGGGTATCTACGTGCGGCCCACTCAAAGACATCAGGCCATCAACCCATCGACCTCCCCTCGCTGGGCCTCGACTACCAATCTGCAGGCGTATTGTTCTCATGTCCAAGTTCCCGTCCCATGTCCGTCCATGTCTCTGTCGCATGTTCTTGGCATTTAATGAGTGCCTGTCTTGTCGCACACGTAAAAATATAATGCCAAAGTATCGATTTTGTAATCGTTTCATTACAATTTATAATTATAATTGTGTCATTACCTAAGTTAATTTAAGGGAAACGTTTACATGCCAGGCCTGGCAGTCATTACAATTAAAATATAATTATTTTTCACCATGCATGAGGAAAGTCTATTTGAATATTTGAATATAATTTTCAGAATTACCTATCTCTTAAAGTATAAGTTTCTTCAATGTTAATTGTATTGTAAATTTAAAATAATTTGTATTGAAAATATTTAAAATCAAAGTATGAACACATAGTAAAGCTGCTAGAAATCCCATATTATAGAACTTGAATTTTAAAATGAGGTCCCGATGTATTTGTTAGTTAGGGAATTATCTTCCTTAGGGATAGCAAAAATTATTATGCACCCTTTTCCGATTTCCTAGAACACATTTCGTTTTCTTTCAGTGAACTTTATCTTTCTTTTCCCCTTTTCAGCCGCTGATTCCGGACTATTGATGTGTGGCTTCTGTCTAAGTCGATGTCTGCGTTCGATTCTCCGTCTGCTGGCGGGTTTTGCTGAGCTGGCTGAGGCCCAGGCCGGGCCCGGAGTCTCTGGCGATTGCCATTTTCGTATGCACGGCATGTATTTAAGTAGGCTGCGGGTAAGTGGACATTAGGGGCATTCTGCGGATGCTATGTAGGCATATGTGCGACCTTATATAGAGCAGGCGACTCGACTTGACAGCCACTTGCCATTCTCCTCGAGTGGCCAGCGAGGAGAAATCACCGAGAATTCTATGCTGAAAATAGCTATTGACGGATGTCTGTTTCGGATCGGCCTCTCTGCAAATGAACATAAAAATGTTCATAAAAATGTTCATTGTACAACATGGCTGGCTCTGCAGGTAGAAAGCGTACAAGATCTGAAATCTTTAGTGTTTTGAATTATGACCTACGTGACGGAGGTATCTCTTAAAACAATCACATCTAAAAATATCCATGGCTTACTTAGAACCGATGGGTTGTCATTTTTTAAGATTTGTATAAAAAGTTTTGATTTATGTAGAAAAATATAATAAGCATATTTTGTTCATGTCAAGTTATGTCTAAATAAATCCATCATAAGGTTTTCTTTTATTTTAAAGGTTAAAATTCTTGTTCAGCTTCACCAGGGAGATGATCTAGACGTCCCCGTTCCTCCATAGATTTCTATTCGATTAACTCGTTATGTTTACCCATAGCTAGTTTTGTCAAGAAATTCTTTGCAAAACAAAAATCCATTACAATTTATTTATAAACTGATTTATTAACAAAGACATTAATTATATCAACTTTTCTTTATAATATTTTTAGAATATATGTTAATTGTGAAGTATAAAAACAAAACTTAATTATTAAAACATAAAACGTATTAAAACTTAACAAAACAGTTGGAATAATTATGCTAACAAATAATTGTTTGCAATTTACAAAAACTTGATGGTTTAATAATGATAAGTTCAAAACTTTATTAGGTAATGTGTTAATATTTGGTATGGAGTCCTTTTATGTCCACTTTGGCATTTATACATAAGTCCAGTTGGATCATAATATATCTAGATTTTCTCTCATTCTCTTAGTATAGCTTTAATTAGGGCCCTCTTATTGGTAGTATTCTTTTTTACCTACAAAAATTTCTCAAAATTGAATATACAAAAAATTTTAATTTAAGTTTAAGTATAAAAAAGGTCATTCTGCAATACATAGCAAAGTTGAAGAAAGACATATTTTCAAAAAATTCTAAAACCTTTTTAGTGAGTTATTTTAAGTATTCTCTGACTTGATCCGTTAAATTAAAACAGAGTTGAATTGAGGAGTCATTTGCTTGCGAGGCTTACAATCCCAATGGAAGTATCCGAACGACACTCTGGGGAGGCATCGGAGTGGCCATATGTTTTAAGCGGAATTGCATGTGCAGGACGGATCTGCATCTCCACCCCCGTCGCATCCGCATCCGCAGCAGAATCATCATCATCTATTTACAAGTATTTGCTGCTGCTACAATTTTCAAACCATTTTTTTAACGACTTGCGGTTTATGGTGGGTCGGTTTTGTTAGGTTTGGATCTGGAATGGGTACACGGTATGGGCATGGGTCTACAGTTTCGTGCGGTATGCCACACATGGACTCCCTGCCCCGATCCCAGTCCCCGGCCTGCTGCTGCCGGTGCATTCATGTGGAAATGAGTGCAGCCAGCACACAAAGTTGCAGATACAGTAGAAAAAATCTGATCTGCTCAAGTACTAGTATAAAATACATTGTAGTTTCAGGGGAAACCTTAGAAGGTAAATTGTCATTATCTAAATTATAATTTATGTTAATTTTATGTTTAATTTAAATTATTAGAATTATGTATCTAAATTGTTTTGGATTACTATTAGAAGTACCATAAAAGTCATATGTGAAATGGAAATAATCAGGGTCATACTCCCTCTCAGTGACATTTCTCTCAGTGCATGGAAAAAAGGAGAAAAGCAAACAAAACCAAGCCTCGCAGTGGGAAAACAATGCTGCTGCTTCTGCTGGCGATGGCGACTACATAAGTGGTAATAATAATTCCGCTCAAGAGGCGTCGCCCGGCGTTTCATTTCAATGACACACAAACCAACAACGTCTGCTGCTGCTTCGCTTCTGCTGATGACGATGGTGGTGACGAGGGGCACAATGAGGAGATCGGGGGGTAGATGGGCAACTGGAGGCTGTGAGGCTGGGGACGACGATGATGAGGCCGCCGCCTGATGATGCCGCTGACGTGAATGGCAAAATACTAAATTCTAGGTGCAGCAGCAGCTAAATCCGTGTTTTTGTCATCGGACGACCCGCATCGTCTAAGCCGCACATTGTACATATGATCCGATATGAGCCCCATACGAAGGAGATAACCCCACAAAGGCGGATAGCAATGTGGAATGACAACGAATGTCGAAGGCTCTATCGGCTTACTTTTTTGTCGAACAATGTGATTCATGCTGTGCCGAGGGATTTTAAGAACTTCTTACAATGTTTGTTAACAATAAATCAAACTAAAGATATTCTTTTTAGTTTACTTGCCACAGATGGTATTAAAATCTCGTGATTTTTTATTAGGAAGCACTTGCTTTTGTCTCAAAGCTAATTGGTCTTGAATAACTTAAAAGAGCAATTTAAAAAAATTCCCAAATTCAAATAAAAAATTCCCCTCGTAAGTGTTTCGCTTTAAAGCTACTCAATTTATCTTGGGTAATTTGTTGGGGTTCAAATTCGAGCTCAGTAAATCGCATTTGAATATTGTGAACTGTTACGAACTGTCTTTAAAATTCCTAATAATCAAATATACTCGAGAACAGACAATTATTGAAATTGTAGTATATATTTACTTAAATAGTTCGAGTAATACGACTTATAAACTGAATACAAATTTAAGTTTTTTGATGGAACAATTAACCAATCCAAGCACAAAATCTTTAACTACCCCAAATACGTATTACTTAAAATGTTATTATATGGAACCCCCACAGTAATTATATAAATGTAATTTATTTAAATAATACTTTTTATGTTTAAAGAAAACTTTCTATGATGAGTTATATCTACTCATTTAGATATTCTTCAAAAATGTGAAATATAAGTAATATAGCAAACGGATTATATTAGTTTGGATTTAAATAATAATTTTAAAAGTCACCATGTCATGGTTGCTTCCTCCAATTTACTGGAAGTGTATTTAAATGCAAGGGCAAAAGAATATTTCCTTCCCTCTCCCTTTCATTTTGCGATGGCTTAATATTGCGTATGCACGGCTCGTCATTCATTCATTGCCCCAACCGACTGTCTATTGGTCGGTGCTCCTCCATCCTCCTTCCTCCTCCCTCCATCCGCCAGCCTGCAATGCCCCTATCCCAACCCCCCCGGAAAGCGCCCTTCGGCCCCTGAAAATCCAACGTCTGCTGGTGGCTCCTTTGATTGCATTGTCTCGTCATGGTCTCGAGTTCGAGTGGTTCCTGGCATCGCATTTTTTAGCCCAGCCTTTTCCCTTTGCTTTTTATAGTTCTCACTCACTCCATTGTGCAGGCAGCCCCTCAATGTCTCTGCTCCTACTACCCTATGGTTCCAGGGGTGCCGTCATGGGGGTACTACTTGGTGATAAAATATTTCACAGAAATTATAAGGGATATAAGATTGGAACTCGTAATATTAACTTGAAATTATTATTTAATTATTATTTAATATATTATAAGATATTTCATTAAAACTAAATCTTAGCTTAATTAATAACACAATAAGAAAGTATAATAAAAAAATAACAATGATTTAAAAAAACTTAGAAGAACTCTCCCATTAGCTACCATTTCCTAAAAATATTAGTGAATTAATCATAAACTTTTGGTCAGACTATATCGAACACCTAAATTTAATATAGCCTCCAATGCATTTTGAGTAGTCTTTCCTTTGAAAACATTCTCCACATACGCCCCTGGTCGTATTTCAACGTTTTTCTCGCTGCCGCTCACTTGACATACAATTATGTTGATGACATTGTTGTTTATATGCTGCCGCTGCTTCTTCTTTTATTTCCCCGCTGCCGTTGTTGTTGTCACTTCCTTCAACTGCAGCAGCAACAACAATGCGGACAATTTTTATGGGCATTCTGGGGCTGCGGCATAAGTATAGGCCCATATATCTACCGCTCTCTCTCTCTCTCTCTCTCGGGCGTATCTGGCATATCTGTCTATGGCCATGACTGCATTTCTTGCACCCGGTAATTGTCGCTGGATGGAAAGGGTATATGGATTTTAATAACCTTTGAGGGGGGAAAAGAAATGAATTTAAGGGGTATGTAAAGCTATCAGCAACAGCAGCCCATTCGATCTAGCTCACTGTCTGATTAAATGCAAACTATTTTATCAATTTTAGAGTTACATATGTATGTATGCATATCTACATGAGTCCTTTTCCAAAAGGATGCATTATATTACAGGTAGCATATAAGTCGCAACGGGACGGATTTAATGAATATATGGTATTGAAGTCAAAGGAATTCTAGGAATATGATTAGATAAAATAGATACATTTGCTGTTTTCCGACAAATTTTTCTCAAATGTGAGATATGTCTTTATTTGTCTCGGAATTAAGATATTGATATTATATAATTCTTATAACTAAACTATGTATATAAGTGCATAGGGCATAATCTATGGTGCTCCAGAAACCTTTCGAATTTCAGAAACACTTAAAATTGAATCTAAAATATCCTATGCAATTATTCAGGTGTAAAATGTCCTTTTTTACAATATTTAATTGTTTAGCATTCGTTTTGTAGTTTTTCTTATGTTTTCAAAACACCTAATGATTCCAATCGCAATAAATTTGTTTATTTTAGACATTTACACACATAGCTTGATAAATATTGATTTATTTCCTAAGATTTTAAAACAAGGTTTTTCTTGTGTAAACAAAACCAGATAAGAACACCTGATATATTTAAGAGCAAAGTGAGGACAGAAAAAGTTCGGTGTTTTTATACACCTCCATTAAAAGATTTTGCACTTGTCCGATATCGATATTTGTTTAATATTTTGTACATTGCAAATGTATACAAAATTCGGTTCTGAAAAGTTTCTTACAAATCTTGTATATTAACTATTATAAAAATGTTTTTAATTTGTATGTTGCAATGGTGTTTATCTTTTATATACATACGGAATCAGTGAAATACATTCTAATTATACTACGTTACAAAAATACATTATTTTCTGAGCTGTCAAACACTGTAGTTAACTTACAAACTGTTCCTATCAATTAATCCTATCTCTCCGTTTTAAGGCCCACGAAAGTGTCTAAAAAATATTTAATGAATCGAAATGCCGGGCTTTATGTGCTACTGTTATCGTTTCATTGCCATAGCCAGCATCTCTAAACAACTCAACGGCGGCTGTCAGTTTAGCAGTTTTACCCGTTCCGCGACCTTAATTAAAAATTCTTTGGGTGTCAAATGGCCCGCTGAAGAAGATGTAGAAGTAGAAGTAGATGTTGTTTCTGTGGCTCTAGGGTTTCCCTTTTGACCAAGTGCAATTGTCTCGACTGCCCGGTTCTCTCCGAGATGCAGTGTGTGTTTCCCCCTTCAAGGTCTCTCGGCCTGTCATCGGCGTCGTTGGCCGTCGTCTTGCTTTGTTCGTTCCGAGAAGCGACCGCATAAATTATTTCCTTTGATAGGAACTTCTAAGGATTCCATTCCTGTGAGCTGATCAAATGATGTAGATTGAACACAACTGTCGCCGGAGCAATTAACCGGCTTTCCGCTGTGCTCCCCCAAAGTGATGACCCGCAGAAACCCGGATTGCGTTTAATGAAGAAAAATGAATTGCACCGATGATTCGACAGATTCAAGTTTCCGCTGGGGAAAGTTTAGCCTAACCCCTCCCCCACGCCTTGCCGAGGAAAAGCTTTATCTAATAAATTTCCACCCAGCACGTAACACGAAATATGCGTGTAAATTTCAGTTATTGATTTATGGCGAGGCATACGTTCACATAGATATGTATGTACGGGCATGTGTGGAGGGAAAGCATTTGTATAAATACGCAAAATAATGGCATCTCCAATGTGCGAACTTCCCCTGACCATAAATCAAGATGAGCCCGGCCAAACAAAGCGATTTTTCCTCTCCTCGCGAAAATATACGTTTGTATGTCTGTACGCTTGAGTATTTCAGCTGGCCCAGCACAGCCTTCTCTGGAAAAGTTCTATTTGATTTCGTATTAGAAGCAAAACTGCTGAGCTCACATAAATTCCGCTTTTAAACGAAAATTAGTGAGGAGGCGGGAACACGACCGGGAGCGGGTGGCACCGGAACGGAATCAGCCCGAGAGATTAAAGTTGGCAACGTGCTACAGTACGTGGCTGGGAAATCATTTTCTGGCGAACATTTTCTGCCATCTCAGCTCGACTTTCGAGCAGGAACGTGGAAAGTTTTTTGAACCGAAAATTACTTGGGCAAATATTGCTTTGTTCAATCGCCGCCGCAGCTTGGAAATTATGAGGGAAAACTTGCAGGCGGAGCAATTAGAAAACTTTTCCCCGGACAACTGTCTCAGATGGTTTGAGAAAACTTCTTTACTGCACTCAGGAAATAGAGGTTCTCAAATAAGAAGGGATTTCAAGCTAAACTCATATACAATTTTTTAAGCTAAAATAATATTAATTTTCTAAGATAAAAAAGGAAAAGAGTTCTTCTAGATTTTCAAAAGTACACCTAATTATTATCTAAGTATCTTTCTGTTGTATTTATTGTAAATCACTCTGTCTACTAACTTTATCTTAACATTTAATTTATCTAGAACTTTTCTCTTTGAATTTTGTTGACCCTTTTTCCCCGAGTGATGAAACAGGGAAAAAAATCAATAGAGCACTTAAAGACAAAGAAGCTGCTTTATGGCCAGCGGATTGGAATTGAATTTCCCGCGAAGACAACCCTTCTCCGGATCCGATCTGAGGACTCCTCTGTTGACTTTGCTGCCTTAATGAGATTCCCTGTCAAGGCTGAGCGCATGCCCAACGCCCTTCCCGAATTCGTTTAATTGCACGCGCGGCCCGTGAAAGAGACCCTGTCTAGAGGGACTGGAACTTGGACCGGGAGCGGGACTACCTGCCCTATAGAGTACTCCCATCCCGAACATATGGCGTTCCAACATACATATAGCAGCCCGGCGAGTGGCTCGTAAAAAATTATCTCTTGCATTGTTCCGTGGCACGGTCGGGGTGCCCATAAAATCCCAGACTAGCAACACCAAACATCGAACACCGATCACCAAACCCGACCAACAACTGGCAGCCAACCCAAGCGATCCGGCGACGTCGGCATAAATCACTAGGAACTTGTTAATTGTGCGCCTATTTATTAGATGCATTTGGTTTTTCGGGAAAATTGAGGTGGTAAGTGATAGGCAGACACATGCCGCTAAAAGGGGGAAAAACAGACATCGAACAGGTGACTCTGTGTGTGCCAGTCTTCGATAAGATATAAGATATATTATGGCAGAGCCATGGGGGTTGCAGTTCCAAGTTCCATGCCGAGAAATCAAAGATGCCGTTCCCGAGAATTTACTTCAATCAGTCTTTAGTAAAATCGAAAAGCTTTCATGCTTCAATCAACTCTTGGAAGATGTGAAAATTATATTAAGGGTCTTGGTAGATGCATTTTATTAATACTAATAAATTGAATGAATCCTGAAAATACTGATGATTAAATAGAAATGAAACGAATTATGTAAACTGTATGAGCGGAAATAAAGACTTCAAAAAAAAATGTTCGAAGAGAATAACTTTTCAGGTATTACACTCTACTGTTCTTGTTCTCTTAAAATGTAATAAATTTTGTAGCTTAGTAAATTTTTTACTAGTTCTTCCGTATACGGTCGATAACATGCCAGAATTTCATTAATGTATTAAATTATTAAAAAATATTAAAACAACAACATCGAAATCTTGAAAATTGCTTTCTACAATGATCAAAGGCCTTAACTAGGATGCAAATTGCTCATTGTACTTGAATATATATATATTCAAAAAAGTTATTGTTCCTATTTTATTACTTCATAGAATACAATTAGAATATGGTTTTATATATTTCAAAAACAATACAAACAAAATGAAAGCAACCTGCACAAGGTTTCACTTTTAAGAAATTAATAACATATGGTTTTATTGATATTAATATGAGTAATCCAAGTTCAAAATATTGCTTATGCCAATGCGGTTCCTCCACTTTTAAACTCAGTTACTTTTTGTTTTGCATCCAAACTTGTTTTGCTAAGCTTTATTCCGGCGAGTAATCAGAATATTTTGACGCTTCTCGGGTAGTTGCAGTTTGGTGGCAGATAATACAACATCATGTCTCCCAAAACAATCGCCGTGGTGAGTCTTACGGGATTAGTTAATGATTTCCTTATGACATTACATACATTTACAGTGGATTCTAGTTCTGTGGATTAACTCTTTTGAGCTGACAGCTGTGTTGGGAGGCGGATACCAGATAAGTTTATCGCATCCTGATGGATCGGCCACTCGAAGGGAATTGGTGGTAGTGGACCCAGAGGGAAATGCCCAGATCGATGGCGAAATCCGTCAGATCTTTTCAGGCCCTCATGAAGGTTCCTTAGTTGTCCTTTATAAAACAGGACCCGAGGGATATAGGATACGATACACCTATACGGCAGGCTCTGAGAAATCCTTAACGCCGACTATGGCTAAAAACGATACTTTTTCGATAAAAAGAATTGGAGTAAATGCGCTAAAGTCATCTGTTGGTTGAACTGGATCCAATTGTTAAAATAAGCAATAAATTAATGGAGTAATTAGAGAAACGTGTAGATGTGCATTATAAAAATGGGGAATGTGAATCAATATATTGGTTTCTGTTCTGATTCTTTCAAGCCAGTCGAAACAGGTTTTATACCAAAATTATTAAGATGTGTGTACTATATGGCGTGAAATCAGCTTGTTGTTTATAATTAAGAAACATATTTGCTTCTCATTTCTTGGGAGTTGTACAATGTAGCTGTAGCTGGCATATAATTACTTATGGTTTAGCTTTCATTAGTAAAAACCTGAGGATGAAGTCACAGATTAATTAACATTAGAAAACATATATATTTTTCCTACTCCAAGTTGGCCTTTTGTACTCTTGCCAGGTATACTTGATGATAAATTATATAGAATTAGTTTCTATATTATTAAACCCACAACATTCGAGCCAGGAACCCAAACACACCCATATTCTCCTCCCCTAGATTAATGTATTAGGCAGCAATCCGAACCATTTGAATCAACATAAGCGGCAACAAATATTTATGGGCAATGGAGCGCATGTTTCCATTTCGAAGCGTTTATTTATTTGTGAAACAACTTTTCCAGGCAAATACAGACAGACCCACACAATACGTAGTACGGCTGTGTGTGCTTACAAATATACAAAATTCTGTTTCTGTTCAGTTTCGTATGCTATATATTTTGTGTGTGTTTTCTGCCATGCCAGCTAACATTTAATGTTTTTATTTGGTTTCGTTAATGACAATGCTCTGTTGCCAATATTGACATGTTCTCTATCTATCCCTGTCTCAGATGTATTCGGGTGTACAGGAGGGCAACTATGTCAATGGCATCCAATTCTATAGTTTATGTCGATCGTGGAGTTTCGATTTAATTATAGGGAATTTCAGCTGTTTAGATTACTTGATGGATTTTTAATGCAATATATAATCATTATTTATTCCATTAGACTAGATTATAAATCTGGAATTTTTAATAATTATATTTAATAATGATTTATTAGCAATTACGCAAGTGACATGCCTTACATTAGTCATGGTAATAACCGTTAAAATAATTAAATTAAATGTAAACTAGAATAATTTATTACTAGCAATGTTAGGATACATAAAACCCTGAGATACTTTTGCATTTAACTGGCATCCATTAGGTTCTGTTCAAGTTTCCCCCTGAAAACCCCCAGGGTATCGTGCGCTTCGACCAACTTAGTTGGCCTTTCTCCTCGGCTCTTGGGCATGTTTGCTTAGTTGGTTGACGATGATGATTGCCAACTGTCGACAAGGGCCGCTGTTGTTGTCTATTTATAAGAATTATATTTGCACTCTGCGGGCCCTGCTGTGCTCATTTGTGTTTTCAGCACTCGGAGGGGGCCAGACATCCGCGCACATGCGATGCGAGCCCCAATTACTACTTCAATAGATACTGCCATGAATTATCGATAATTGCCTAATGCGGTTATCAGCGACAAAGGCGCGTAACTATCTCCATCTGGCAAGGAGCAGGACTCCGCCCAGGTGCACTGGGTGGGCAAACGTCCATTTGAAATTCATAAGCTCATTAAATTTTCAGCAGCCAGCCAAGGCAATCAGCAGTCAGCAGTTTCCCAGACTGGGCAAATACAATTAAAATGCCATAAAGCAAATTAGCCAAGACAAACTTTTCATATTTAGCCGCGAGCTGTGCAAATTAGATGCGACAAGACAAGGTCCTGAAACGGGGGCTGTGCGGGGTTTATGTATCTCGTATTTCAGTATTTCTGTATTCCTGGGGCCACGGCGACACTAAAGCACATCCTGCGCCTGCCGTAATTGCCAGGCGGAGCGGCACTCGTGGCTGCAACTTCAGCAAATTGTTGGCAATTATGTGGCACAAAGTAAAGTAAAACACAGTGTGACAGCCGAAGGAATGCGATGGGGAATACTTTGGCCAACTGTGGACGAGGGGAAAGTCCCTTTGATGCTGGATTTCTATGGCTTTGGTGGATTGTCAAGTCATATCTGATCAGTTTTATTAGTTTTGGGTTTATTTTGGGTAACCTCGAGTTTTTGTGTAATCAAATACTCTTCTTAAACACGTTATTTTCAAAAGAATCCATTTATACTTTGTACTTTGTATGCAATCTAAGCATTACATTCTCGTAATCAATTACACTTGAGTAAATGCATTTTTCCATTACATTTTTACACGATTTCTTTTACATTAACTACCCTTTGGATATGCCTGTTCCCCCTTAATTTTCCCTTCAAACCAATTAAGATTACAATCTAAGGGTATTTTAGAAAAATGAGTTCCATTCCAAAATCTCAACTCCTGACCCGCCTCACCACCCCTCGTGGTTCGACAACCTGCTGGCAAGTGTATTAAATTATAATTATTTGTGCATGACAAAGGGTCATGAAACATGCCTAATGACACATTTGCCACAGACTCGAACAAAACGCGGGACCGCCGCCACAACAACAGCTCGTGAGCGGGATCGGGGATGAAGGGAGTCCGGGTCGGAGACGGGTTTCATGGCGGAGGTGGTGGTGGTGGTGGTAGTGGTGGCCCAGGGGGCAGACCTTACGTGTCTCCCTCTTGTGAGGATAGCGACATAGTCCGTATGTATGTACAACATGGATGCAATTAACCACGCTCGTTATGTTCGAGGCGTGCGGCAGCCGAAAAGAAATTAAACAAAATTGCTGCAAAACTGAAAATTTCCACTTGTAATGCAACACCAGAAACACGTCGGCCACGGCGAGGGAGTGAGGGAGGCTTTTAACGGCTGACCGAGTCCTTTAATACCCTGGCATTACAAATCAGAAAGTAATTTTCGGTATTGGAACCGTTTCCTGAAATACAAATAATATATACAAGACTTTTTAAAGTATACAATATACATTTTCTTACTTTCAGATACTTTACAGGACAAGAAGCTCTACTGTCATATTTTTCTTCAAGAAATTAAGAAACCAAAAACATTTTGAAAACTTAATATTTGCATAGATTTTTTCCTTTCTTTCCGATATTTTATATTTCAGTAAGATAATAAAGAGCTCTACACCATTTTAAATTAAGGTATGTAAGGAAGATAAAAGGTTTTTAATGCAAAGAATTAATATTTGCAGTAGTTCAATACTGTAAAATATTATCAATCATTAATAATAAAGCTTAAGTGTGATAACTTGGCCTTAATCTTATAGGAAAGAAAAAACAAACAATTTTATTTATTACATCTTCAAAGCCTTTCAATTTACGATGAAGTTTAGGGTGTTAAAGCCTTTAATATATGTGTAATATTAATGTAGATTAACAATATTAATAATATTTTTATTCAATCTGAAAATTGGGGAATTTTAAGGCATGCTTATATTATTAGGTTGTAACTAGTTGTATATAGTTGTAAAATCCTTAAGAATTATGTATAAAGAATAACAAACTGACTCCTGAAGGAAAAGTCCCAGAAAGGGTATGACGGCAAGGTTAAAGTTGCTGCACATTGAAGCCAAGGATGGCGGCGGACTATCCCAGCTCTTGGCATGGCCAAAACCATACCCAACCAAGTCAGTAGTCAGCAGTCAGCAGTCAGGAGTCAGCAGGTTTTTGGACTAATGTCTATTAGGCATTTGCCTCCACTGGAGTTTTCCACCCCTCCCCCTGGATTTTCCCTCCCCTGGAAAACTTTTGTGCTGCGGCACAGTGGAATGACCAAAGTTGAGGGGCCAAGGAGCGCGATAAGCGCACTCGAGAATGTTCCATGTTTTTGCTAAGGGCCTGCAGATAAGATCCGTAATGGTGCCCGCCACATTTGGCTGGCCTCGCTGGCTCCCAAACGGTTTTGGCTTAGTTTAGTGACCATTTAAGAAGTGTTTGAGGAATCTTTCTGGCAAATATGCATTCATGCGGACCTTAAATAGCCGCAATCTCAAGTTCTATCTTTTGGATGTCTGCTGTAGTCAGAGTATCTGTTAAGCAAACTCACTGAAAATGTCACGAATTACTAGGTTTTCCATATAGCTTTTGGTGCATCAAGAAAGACTCCTGTTTCAGCTAATTTCCATCACTTGCGACTAGTATTTCTCAACCTGATGATTATCCGATCACAGCTGTCCCATCGACTGAGTTACTTTCCCATTTTAAGCCTCGTTCTGCAATCAAACACCCGGAGCATATATCATCTCTCGCTGGGATTAATACTACTATTTCGGTACGGGGATTCCGTTGCGTATCAAACTCTGTGCTCCTTGGATCTTGGACCACGGTGAGTGTCTATGGAAATTTGAGTCGTGGTCGTGTCGCATTCGCCTTTCTGTTGTTGATTTTTTCCTCCATCTCTCGGAGCTCAGCTTGACTTCAGCCTCCTCAACCATCGCTCTTGGCCCTACTTACGTACGTGTTGCAGCAAACAAAACTCTGTGGAAGACGAAGAGGGCCAAAATAAAAAAAAAACAACAAGAACGCGGCACATAAACTAGACAAACATCGATAAGAGCAAACGAAGGTCCATTCAAGTGGCAACGGGCAGGGCCTGAGGGACGTGCCTAGGAAAACAGAATTTACTAAGCAAATACGTGCATATGGAAATGTATTGGTCGAACATGAACCCGAACCCGAACCCAAACCTGGCGAGTAGAACCCTCTCTTCTTTTTTACTGACCCTTCCCACATCTATTTTGATTCCTAAGCGAATTTCGTAATTAAACGGAAACGCTTCAAAATTAGGCAAGGAGAGGAAATGACATAGTGCCAGGGCCTGTGGAGAATCCCAGAGCTGATGACGATTCCCCGGAGGTTATTCATTATTCTACCAACCACGCATATGGCTGTGTTTCGTTAACACTAACCACTTTCGATGCATAACATTACAGGGAGCACTCTCTACATGAATATATAAAAATGTTCAGCCAACATAGAGTGTTGAGATTCGATTCTCTGATTGTCCATTTTAATAATAATTTTGCATTAAACATACATAGATGAGCAGAGATTCATCAATATACC